TCAAAATTGTAAATCTTTTATTTTATTATTTATTATTGAAATGATGAATCTACTAACCCGTATACCAACCACAAAGAAGATAAAGATACCCTTATCTTTCTCGGCTAGTCGCAGGTAACAACACTGCTGGTGTTTATTTTGTGCACCTTTGTAGAGTCCTAATAGTTTACGTACTAGTTAGCACTACGCAACACTCAAGGCAACTAATGATCTTGAAATGTAAAGTGTGATCTAAATGTTACTTATAATAACCAATGTTAATATAAAATTACTTTGAAAGCCAAAAAAGTTCCAGCTACAATTTGTCTTTACAACATGGCTTCATAGTTTAGATTTTTTTAGAAAAATATGACTTAATTGTAAAAGTATGTAATAGCATTTCGAGTTACATACTTGCAAAAACGTATGCACATACAAAGATTATGTTAACGATTAGTGTACTTAAGAAGCATATTAATATCAATGTTATCACTAAAAAATTGTACGGTCGTTTCAATATTGATTGCGATTTTATTATACGTATTAAATATATTTTAACTGTCGGCACTTATGATCCACTATCAAAAAATGTCAAAGTGTTCCATATACATCAATAAAATTACTTACAATTGGTTTTATAGTTTTTCGCCTGTTTTAATCCTTTAACGATTGCTTCTAAAATTGATTCAATCCAAAAACACTTGTTTATAATAATTATTTATTTCAGACCTAATTTACTATTGTTTTATTACATTTACAAAAATACCTTCACAGATTCACCAGAGGTTGTCTTAACAACTACCACCAACGCTGATGATCAGTCACTATTATAACTCTTTCTATACTGAAACTGACCGTACAAAACTTGCGTTAAAAGTTAGTTTACAGCATACGCAGATGCATAACATTATAGATGTGTGTACATCATGGTAAATTAAACGGGCTCAAAAACAATGATGTGGAATTGCTTGCAATAAATAATCTAAAAATAAGTTTAATTGTAAGTTGTGTTTTAGTATGTTAACTGGGCCCATGCCATGTTATAATAAAGACAATTTTATTATTGTTTAGGCACTCAACTCGCTTTTGTACGACGAACATCCGAAAATACCCCATGATATAGCACGAACTAGAGTGTACAAAAATTTGTTAATCCTGAACATTTTTATTTCGATTTTTTTTATTGTGTTGTTTTGTAATAGTAACAGTAAGCCCTTCGGTAATAAAGCACTTTCACTTTTTGATTATTACACTACTAATGTTATTTTTACTTGTACCAGTGATTACGATGTACGTAATATTATTATATATTATATTAATGGCAAAAGAATGTTTGTGTTTTCCGATTGAAGTACGTTCGACTACTAACAAAATTTTCCCAATTTACATTCTAACAAATATAAATACATATATGTTCCTTAAGTGCTCACGCAATTCAATCAAACTATTTTCGTATTTTAGTAAGTTGACGATTCAGGTGCTTTGTTTAATATTCAAATAGATGCATTATTAATAAAATAATCATTACATTTATAACTATTATATAAAAAGTATTATTCAATAGCAGATACGTAAAAAGGGTAACAGTATTCCATTACTCATGAAAAAAGTATTAAGTCATTGTGATGGAAAATACTTCCATTATTTATTACAAAAGCAATGGTTAATGTGAATAATTTACATTACTCACTTCAAAAGTAAAGGATAATGTAAATTATTCACATTAATATTTTCACAACCCTTAATATAAGCAGTTCGAACGTCAAATGTATACTAAAGTAAACTAAACTAAAAAAATAACTTAATGAAAATATAAAATCTTCCATTTTTGTTAACTAGTACGTAAACCATTACTACTTATTTCACCATAATAAGTTTGTTTTCCATTAATTTTTGTATTTTACTGCAATCAATAAAAAAAATCGGTTGTCTGTAAAGTCGGTTTACTGACGATAATTGAACGTGACAAAGTCATAAGAAAATACTGATGGAATGGTTTCATTTTTCAAAAGAAAATTTTAATTTTATTTGTTTGATAGATATTTTGTATGGATATAGAGAAGGAGGTAAATGGAAATGTATTATTGT